TACTCAGGCCTCTTCTGTGTCACTGTCAACCCCTATAAGTGGCTGCCAGTGTACAATGCTGAGGTGGTGGCTGCCTACCGGGGCAAGAAGAGGAGTGAGGCACCACCTCACATCTTCTCCATCTCCAACAATGCCTATCAGTACATGCTGACAGGTGAGTCCAGCAACCCCTGACCTGTGCCTCACCACCCACCTGGGCCCTCAGCCCTGACACCATTGCCTCTCTTATCTCTTGCAGATAGGGAGAACCAGTCCATCCTCATTACGTGAGTGAGCACCATCCACCCACAGAGGGCATGGGGTGGGGTGGGGGGCCCAGGCTGACTCCTGGGGTACAGGTGGGAAGGAAAGGGTTAAGGCTGTGATTGTAGGGAGTGTGGGGTGCAGAGCTCTCACTAGAGGTGTGACAGATTGAGGAAGATGACAGAGGAATTCTGTAGGGTGCTAGGCTCAGCTGGGGGAGTTTAGATGGCTGGGACTCTGAGGGGAGGAGTGCAGGAGTGTTGGGTTCTGAAGAGAGAACGGTAGGATTACTGAGTTCTGGTTGGTTCCTGTTGCCTCCAGCGGAGAATCCGGGGCTGGGAAGACTGTGAACACGAAACGTGTCATCCAGTACTTTGCCAGCATCGCAGCCATAGGAGACCGTGGCAAGAAGGACACCACCAATGCAAACAAGGTGCTTGTGTGAGCCATGGGCTCAGCAGAAAGAGGGTCTAGGGGCAGGCTGACCCAGGTTACCCCTAACCCTGCCCTGGACAGCAACGGGGACAGCACCACTGAGCGGGGCTCCTGAGGGTCAGCCCAGTGCTGAAGACCTTCCTGGCAGGAGACACACACTTTGAGGACCAAATATAGCCCTTTGGAGCCACAGACCCACCGCTGTTCACCCACTCCCACCCCCAACCCCCAGGGCCAGATTAGCCTCCCTGTCCTTCTCACCGCTGCCTGGAGGTGGGTGGGAGATGAACCCTGGGGTTCTGCTCCCTTCGCAGGGCACCCTGGAGGACCAGATCATTCAGGCCAACCCCGCCCTAGAGGCCTTTGGCAATGCCAAGACTGTCCGGAACGACAACTCCTCCCGCTTCGTGAGTGCCCTTGACCAGCTCAGCTGCCAACCAGCCTCATCTGGCCTTGACGAAAGCAGGGCACTTTTTTGCCAACAGTCACCACATCCTGTCAATTGTACTGTATTTGGCTTTGGGTGTCAGCAGAAGTGCACACACATACACACACTTCCTCCAAACACTCCCCAGCTCAACCTGGCTCCCTGAGTTCTGGGAACCCCAAGAAGGAGATCAGAGTCACCACAGTTGTTTCAAAGTCAAGTGGCGGAGCTAATTTTGACCACATTTTAGATTTTTCTGATGACTACTTCCAAACCTTTTCCACATCAGAAGTGGAAAAAGAGCATGAGCTTTGGAGCTAAATCCCAAAATTCCCACTTGTTCAGAAAGTCCCCACACCTCTCTGAGACCCAGTTCCCTCATCTATGAAACAGGGGTAATACTGTCTATCTTGAAGGCACTTAGGAGAATTACATAAGATGATATAGAGGTACCCACAGCAGGCATTATGTACATGCCGATCTCATACTGTTGTTTCCACTCATTGATCCCTGGGTGGTAAGTGGGATGGGCATCCTTTTCCCTAAGACACCAAATAGGCCGTTTACGTTTCCAGAATCAACCGAGGCATTCTGAGTTGAGTTGAGGTCAACATCTCCATTCTGTCCCTTCTGGCCAGTTCTCTCATTCTTTGTCTCACCACCACCCCCGCCCCCCCTAGGGAAAATTCATCAGGATCCACTTTGGAGCCACTGGAAAGTTGGCTTCTGCAGACATAGAGACCTGTGAGTACTGTGGAGGGGTACCCTGTTTCACCATCCCCTGAGTCCTCCACCCCTGCCTCTTTCCCAGCTGGGCAGCCCTACCTCATTTCCCTCCATCTTTTTCCTTTGTCTATATTTGCCTCTTGGCTTTAGCA